CAAATTGTTTTGATCTACACAGTCAAATGCCTTTGCATTGTCAATGAAATACAGATAGGCATACTCTGCTTTTGGCCAAGATCCACTTACCGTTGGCTGTCATGTACTCCAGTGCCATCACCTCTTCTAAAACTAGCTAGCACATCTGGCAGTTCTCTGCTGATAAAACTGTTTCAGTCATTTTAAAAATAATCTTCATCAGGATCTTGTTTGCATGTGTTATTAGTGATATTTTTCAATAATTTCTACACTTTTTTGGGTCAACTTTTTATAGAGTGGGAAAATAAAGATCTCTTGCAGTCAATTGGCAGGGTAGTTGTCCTCCATATGTCTTGAAATATCCTGGTGAGCATGTCCAGGACAGCATCTGTTTGTTGAAATACATCAATCTGTATGCTATCAATTCCTGGGGCCTTGTTTTTTACCAATTCCTGCAGGGCAGTTTTAACTTCCTCCTTTATTACAATTGCCTCTTGATCATATGTTGTTTCATGTGTTTCTTCTGTGCCAGCCAATTCTTTTTGGTATAGTGACTCTGTGTACTCCTTCCATGTTTTTTGTGTTTTGTTTTGTTTTTAATGTTTCCTGGGTCATTCTGCTTTCAGCATCCTTAAGCATTACAACTCAAGGCTTAAACTTGCTGTTTAGTTCTAGATACCCTAAACGAGTTCAGCCCTTTTGAGTTTTGGACTCCAGCTTCTTGCACATTTCATTATAATTCTTTTACCAAGCTGCCCTTTGCAATCTTCTGTTCAACTACTTAACTTCCTTATTTCTTCCCTTTGTTTTGGTTTATTATTGCTCTTGTGAAATATTCAGTGTCTCTTCTGACATCCATCCTGGTCTTTTCTTCTTCCTCTCTTTGTAATATCCTTTTGCACTCTTCATAGATAATATTCTTGATATCCTCACACAGTTAAAATGAGATTTTAGTAAAAATTGACATTGTGCTAAAGAGTGTTATTTAAGTGAGAAATACTTAAATATAAGTGAATTTTTTTTTTGGTAAAAGAGGCAGTCTGAATCCATCACTTGCTCTGCGGGAGAAAGATGGGCTGTCTTCTTTGTAATTTAAAGCCTCTGAAACCCCTGAGGGTCAGCTGTCTGTCTGTTCCAACTCAGTCTACTAGTCTTCTGTTTCTTTACTGTGTTGATGGCACAACCAATCAAACAAAAATCCTGGCTGGAAAGATAGACTCTGTTCTTCATTCTGGCTTTCTTATAAGTCTGTCTCTTTCCAAATTTCTGACTATTTCTTACTTTCTTATTCTACTATCCAAGTTGAATGACTTCTCATTTTCCTCTCGGACAGTTTTAGTAGTTTTTCTTTCTGCTTCCAGCATTATATCTTACCTTAGGGTTGTCACACTATTGCTCTGAAAGTCTTTAAACAAGTATTTATTGAGTGCCCATTAATAGTGGTGGCTCTGGTGGCCTTGTGGTTAAGAATCTGTGCTGTATTTCCAAATGCATGTGGTTCAGATCCACCAGCTGCTCCACAAGGGAAGTATGGACAGCCTCCTCCCATGCAATTCACTGCCTCTGAAAACCCACTGTGGGATCAGCTAAGACTTTGTTCTGACTCAACACCACCCAACAACAACAACAACTTCTGTTGCTGCAGATGTCATGTGCTATTGAGTTGAAACCAACTTCCATCTGACCCAACAGCATATTTTCAGAGGCTTTAAATCACACAGGGGGACATTGCTCATCTTTCAATTGTAGAGTAGTTGCTGCATTTGTACCAACTGTCTTTGGGTTGACAGTGCAACTCCTTACCACTAAGCCACTAGAGCTCCTCTATTACTGTTGTTATGTGCCATAGAGTCACCTGTTACCCATAGTGACCCTATTACAGCAGCTCTGAACCCTGCTCTGTCCTGAGCAAAGCCTCCCATGATTCCTAAGGTTTCTGACTTGGGTGACTTGTTTGTTTAATAATATGTTCTTAATGTTGTTAGGTGCTGCCTAGTCAACTATGACTGATGGCAACCCTGTGAACCACACTTTGGAATCTTGCCCCATCCTCTGCCCTCTTCACTTCCTCAGCCATACTCAAGCTCATTGTTACAGTCACTACATCATTTTATCTCATTGAGGGTCTTCCTGTCTTTCACTGACCCTCTACCTTTCCCAGCATGATATCTTTTTTTTTCAGATTTTGGCTTCATTTGACAATATGTCCAAAGCATATGATACAGAGTTTCACCATCATTGCCTTGAAGGAACACCTTGGTTGCCTTCTTCCAAGACGCTCTTGTTTGGCTTTTTGACATTCCTTGGGATGTTCGGTATTCTTGGCCAATACCACAATTCAAAGACATCCATTCTTTCTGTGTGTGTGTGTGTGTGCTGTTTAGATGGGTTAAAAATAGAGAATAAATTATTGGGGAAGGTAAAAGGAAAGAAAGATAATTTTGTTTTGGATGTACTAATTCTGAGTTACTTTAAGACACATAAATAGAATTGATAAATAAGAAATACTATGTACAATTCCCCATGATATGAGATTGTTGTTGTTAGATGCCATTGAGTCGAGTACCATTCACAGCGACGCTATGAACAAAATATCTGATCCCTGTTTTATCCTGCAACATCTTAACTTGGGGTTCCTGTGAGACTTGAATCTGTGCCACTGGTGTGTCAAATGCCATTTGGGTTACCTGTGGTTGACAGGTTTGGTGGAATTTTTCACCTAAGACAGATTAAGAAGCAGGATGGACCATCTACTTCCTAAATAACAGGTCTTTGAAAACACTAGGAACACTAAAGAGATGAGATTATGCAGGTATAGATTGAAAGATAAAACAGGCAAGTTCAGTTGTCTGAAGAATACTGGTATTTATTTGTCAAGAGATTTCTAAACTTTAATATTTTCCCTTTTTTAAAAAATTCTCAGTATTTTCATCATATTGTTTCCAACTTTAAGGTAAACTCTAATTTCTTTTGCATTGCATACAGAGTGTTATGATAATGGAAAGCATCCCAGCCTAACTGCCCACCTCATTCACTCCTAGACTACTCTGCATACTGCCAAGGGAATAATTGAAACCATTTGCAAATGTAATACCATTTATATTCTTAAAATTGATGGCTAAAGTTAAATTTGAGACTCCATAGTCTCGTTTTAAAGCTTCATACATTTATAAAAAAACCTAGTCGTAGTGGCCTTTCCTCAAGTTCTTCCTGTTAACCTGTTCAACTGTGGAACACTTGCCAGTGAACCCTCCAAGCTATCATATAAGAAAATAGATGAGTCTTCTGACACCTCTGGAAAGTTCAAGTTCTGAGGATGGTACATGTTTGAGGCAAAAGAACACTTTTCATTATCAAGGATCTTGGCCTTGCCCTCCCAGTGCAATTTCCTGATGAATTCAATAAGACCACATGCAAACTTAAGCCTTCTTTGACCTCTCTAGCCTAACTTCCACACCAGGAGCTGGCCAAACGGTCTTCTTTTCTTTAATTTACATTGGCACCTGGGCATTGCCAATTAATAACATGAAATACCATGAACATATAAACTCAAGGATCCCCCAGATCCCCAAAGCTGATAGAAGACATGACTCTGCTTTTCTTTTTTTTTCCTTCTGGAGCTCACCTTGTTTCTGCTAGCCCTTTCATGGATGGTGAAGAAAGGGACAAGTTGAAAGGGCAAGTTAAAGGGGCCTCAGAAGCAACCATACAACAAAACTGTTCCTGTAATAATCAGACATAACTAAAATGTTATGGTTAAGCCAAAGATGAGACACACTATTTTGGTGTTTTTAAAGAAATAGTAATTGTTCGGCTCGAGTTTTAGTCAGAATTTAAAATGTGCTGAAGATTGTTAGCTTAAGTAGATAATACTTAACTATAAGTACATTTGGTAAGTAAAGGAGGCAGTTTGAATCACCCTGCTGTTCTGTTGGAGAAAGAGGGCCATCTCCTCCAGTGATTTAAAACCTCTGAAAACCTGCTTGGAGGTTTTGCATAAGGCTGACTCAGTGGCAATGAGTTTTATTAATGCTACTAGTTGTTGTAAAAACTCTCTAAAGTACTCAAGAGCAACGGTGTGTCTCTGGAGACTGAGGTGCGTCTGATATAGGCCATGGTCTTTGCAATCACTTGTTATGCATCAGAGAGCTGGACAATGACCAGGGAGGACAGAAGGAGAGTTGATGCTTTTGAGCTTTGATGTTGGAGAAGATTGCTGAGGGTGCCATGGACTGCTAAGAAAATAAACAGATTCATCCTGGAGAGGGTTAAACCAGACTGCTCCTTGGAGGCAAGGATTCTGAGACTTCGTCTGACATACCTTGGTCATGTTGTAAGGAGAGACAGGTCCTTGGAGAGGGACATCATGCTTGGCAGGGTGGAGGGCAGGCACAGGAGCAGAAGGTTCTCTGGGAGATGGATTGATTTGGTGACTGGGGCAATTGGGATGAGTGTGTCAGAGACAGTGAGATTGGCACAGGACAGAGCAGAGTTTAGAGCTGTTGTACATAGGGTCACTATGAGTCGCAAGCGACTCGACAGCACATAACAACAACAACAGTGGAAAATTATTACTTACGTACCATACATAGATAAGGCAATAGATACAGAGCTGGAAATTTACTCCTATGAAATCCTAAAACAAGTAGGTTAAAAGGATAAAAAGGCAAAAACCAAAACAACAAAAACTGTATTACTTTTGATTTTGGTGTGAAACTGTATGTCTGACTCTTGAAAACTTAAAGTGTTTCCATTTGCTATTGCTACAGACTTCTTTTTACCTTACTGAAGTGTTTTCATTTGCTATTGCTATAGAACTCCTTTTTACCATACTGTTTCCATTTGTTTTTTGCTACAAAACTTCTTTTTAGTGGATGGATGGATGAATGAATATAATGTCTATGTATATAAATTTAATCAAATATAGATTTCTTTTTCTCCTTTTTCTGCCAATTCTCCTCACAAGGGTAATATCATAGCTCTTTGAATGCTAGAATTCGGTCTTTTGTTTTATATTTTAGGACTAGTGATAAAAGGAGAAACTTGGCCAAACAAAAAGCGGAGGCTCAAAAGAGGCTTTATGGTCAAAGTTCGATAAAAAGACTCTTACCAGGTTCCTCAGACTGGGAACAGCAAAGACACCAATTGGAGAGGCGGAAAGAGGAGTTGGTATGAGAAATTTAACAAAGTACCTACAATTGAATTTTGTTATTCATCTGTCAGGTTTTGTTTATAAAATTTCTTCATTTTTAGAAAGAGAGACTTGCTCAGGTACGAAAGCAAGTCTCCAAAGAAGAACATGAAAATCGTCATATGGGGAATTACAGGTAATTTTGCTTTTATTTTTGTATGTATTAAAGGGGTAAAGTGTCAAAAATTATTCTACTTTTTTAGCCTTTAAGCTTATTGTAAGCAGTGGTTTTGTTTGGGGTTTGATGTTTTTGTTTGTTTTTTGTGGAGTTTTTTCTTTCAATTTGGGGGAGGAAGAGTATTTTTTTTTTTTAATATTTGCCCAGAGAGAAGAAAGCAGTCAATAAGTAATAGTTCAGACCTGGGGAAAGATAGAAGGCAGGTATATCGCTTACACATTTGTTAGTCAGCTCTACTATGTACTTACACTAGATTTTTAGAATCATCTCCTATTCTGTGATTTAATTTGACTATAATGTGACATTTTGAGAAAGTTGAGGCTTAGGCTTTTTGTATCCTTTCTGCCGCTTTTGTGTGTTTGCTATGTTTTATTTTTAAGTTCAAAGGCTGTAGGAACTAGGTAGACAATGAAAATGTTTGAAGGAAGCAGACAAAATGAGAGGGATGTGATTCATGATGAACTGTAATCCCTCGATAATGCCACTCTTGACGGGATCAAAAGAGGACCCTTTAAGCTTCTTATGTTCTTAGAAAGACTGCTCATCCTTCCAAACTTTGACCATGATTCACCTGGATTAAGGTAGAGGTGGAGGGGCATAGAGCTGCTTGTCCTCCTGGTGTGACTGCCTATCCTCGCGTAATACAATCCACATGTGATAAAAACACATTCATCCCATAAATACTACCTCTACTCCAATTCTCTAGCTTATCAAGGAAATTATATCACTTCAAAAGATATTTTCAGGACTAATCCCTATATTTTTATTAGTTTCAGTAACCACATGAAGTCCAAAGCCTTTAAATATCTTTCATGACCTACAACCTTCCCTACAAATTTATTTTCTCCAATCTCACCCCATTGGCATTCCTTTTGAGTTACTCTTCCAACCAAACCCTTACAATCTGACTATTGGAGATGCATTGTTCAGAGTTTTCTAGATAAGCTTTAAATTTGCATGGGGAACAGATGCACATTTCTTAATTTCTTATAAATATATTCATGTTTAGGTTCTAGCACATAGTGTTAGGCACAGGGTATTTAAGGATCTATATACTTGACCTTAACTGTTGAACATTCAGCTTCTTTTAATATTGATTTCTCTATTTTTATTGTAGACGAATTTATCCTCCAGAAGATAAAACACTGCTTGAAAAGTACGAGAGTTTGTTGGCTGTTGCTTTTCAGACCTTTCTTTCAGGAAGAGCAGCTTCATTCCAGCGAGAATTGACTAATCCTTTGAAAAAGATGAGGGTAAGAGCATAAATGGTTATGTACAAAATACAGAATGAAGCAAAAAAATTATATATATAATTTTAACTGCCCACCTTATCTTTAAAAAGTCTACCTTAACCCTGCATGTCTGAACAGAGCAAGGAAACACTGCATGGCTTAAGATAGGAAAAATATGTGCTAGTGTCATCTCCTTTCTCTATACTTATTCAGTGTGTATGCAGAGAAAATAATTCAAGAAGATGGACCATATAAAGAAAATTTGGCATCTGCATTAAAGGAAAATTCATGAACAACCTGTATTATACAGGTGACACAACCTTGTTTGTAGAAAGTGAAGAAGACTTGAAGTACTTTCTGAAGAGAATCAAGACTAGAGTTTTTAATATGAATTACATATAAACAACAAGAATACAAAAATCCTTTCAGTCAGACCAATAGATGACATCATAATATAGTGGAAAAACACTGAAGTTGTCAAGGAATTAATTTTATAATCAACACTCATGGCAGTCAAGAAAGCAAAAGACGGCACGGAAATACGCTGTCAGAGACCTCTCCAAATGTCTAAAGAGCAAAGATGACAGCTTAGAGTCTAAGGCCTGGTACATGCCATGATATTTTCAGTTGCTTCTCATGCATCTGAAAGTTGCATGCTGAGTAAGGAGGACAGAAGAATCAGTGTCTTTTGCTTAGGTTCTGGTGAAGAGTGGTGCTGGTGAATAGTCCATGGACTACCAAAAGAACATACAAGTCTGTCTTGGAGGAAATGTGAGCAGGGTGCACCTCAGAGACAAGAATGGTGAAACTTTGTCCATGTTATCAGTTAGTAATGGTTTTTTAGTGGTTGATAAATATGTTAAGATTTACCCCTAGATTTATTTTTAAGAGCTTTATGATTTTATCTCTTTTAGTTTAAGTGATTGATTCAGTTTGAGTTATATTGTCTCCGTGGTTTAAAGTCTATTTTCTTTCTCCCGCAGTGGAAAGTCACTAGCCCAGGACCATTTATTGAACATACTATTCTTCCCTCATTGAATGAACTTAACATCTTTGCCAAAACTGATTGACCATATTGTTGCTGTATGCCGTCACATGCTTAAAACTCATAGTGAGTGACCCTATGTACAACAGCTCTGAACATTGCTCTGTCCTGACCCAACCTCATTGTATCTTTCACACCTACCCCGATTACCCCAGTCACTGAGTCAATCCATCTCATCCAGCATTGTCTTCTCCTTTGCTGTTCCTCTACCCTCTCAAGTATGCTTGAAAGCATGTCCCTCTCCAAGGACTGGTCCCTCCTTGCAACATGCCCAGAGTATTTCAGACAAAAACTTCAAAATTATTGCCTCCAAGGAGCAGCCTAATTTCACCTTCTCCAGGACAAACATGTTTGTTCTAGCAGCCCATGATATATTCAATACTTTTCTCCAGCATCACAATTCAAAGGCATCAGTTCTTCTCTCATCTTTAGTCATTGTCCATCTCACTGATGCATAGCAAGTAATTACAAAAACCATGGCCTGAATCAGCTGCACCTTAGTCTTTAAAGTAATATCAATGCTCTTCACTACTCTGGAGAGGTCCCCGACAGCACATTTTACCAATGCAATGCATCTTTTGATTTCCTGGCTGCTGGTACCAAGAGTGTCGATTGTGGAGCCAAGCAAGATGAAGCTGTTAACAATATCAATCTTGTCACCATTTATCATGATGCTGTCTATTGGCCCAGTGGTGAGAATCTTTATTTATTTTTTTTTATGTTGAGCTTTAATCCATATTGAAGGCTGTCGTCCTTGACCTTCTGCAGGACATGTGTCAGGTCCTCCTCAGTCTCCACATAGCTCTGCCATCTGCATTATACAGATGAGTCTTTCTCCAATCCTGATGCCACATTCCGCCTAATAGAGTCTAGTCTCCCAGATGATCTGTTCTGCATATAAATTGAAAAAGTATGGAGATAGGATGCATCCCTGGTGTATACCTTTCCTGATTTTGAAGCATGCAATGTTTCCTTGCTCTGTTCTGATGAGAGCCTCCTAGTCCAAGTATAGGTTTCAAATAAGCACAATCCAGTTTTCTGAGATTCCCATTCTTCTCAGAGTTAACCATAGATTGTTGTGATCCATGCAGTCAAATGCCTTTACATAGTCAATAAAACACAGATAGACATTCCTCTTCTACTCTCGGCTTTCTGCTAAGATCTATCTAACATTGGCTATGTTTATTTCTCTAAAATTGGTTTATATTTACTGCTTGCATGGAGTCTGACTTACTGAGGCCCTTCCATCAAGTTTCTGAGACTGTTAATCCTTTTAGGAGACTGCTCAGCTTTTTCATGCAGAGCCTCTGGTGGGTTCAAACCACTGATGTTTGAGCTAGCAACTTGACACAGGTTGCACTCTGATACCAGGGCTCCTTCACTGTCTTTATCTCAGTACCGCATTATTTGATTATTGTAGCATTGTAGTAACATTTGGACTTAAACGTCTGTTGCCCACATTGTTATTCTTTTTGAGAATTTTTCTGGCTATTCAAGGCTGCTTCCATTTTTTTATTAATTTAGAGATTAACTTCTATTTCTGTGGGAAAAGTTTGATAGAAATTGTTTTTAATCTGTAGGTTGTTTTGGGTAGTGTTGACATCTGAACAATATAAAGAAAGTCTTTCAATATACCAATACAAGACCTCTTTTCAATGATTTAGATCTTTCATGAGTGTGTGGGTGTGTGTGCATGCATGCACATGCTTATGGAAACAGAAAGCCCTAGTGGCATAGTCCATAGGGATTGTGCTGCTAACTCTCAGTATTTCTAATCCACCAGTCATTTTGTGAGAAAAAGATGGGCAGTTTTCTGTCACATAATTTCTAGCATTAAAAAAAAAACAAAACCACTACAGGGTCAACTCTGAGTTGTCAATGAGAAAAAGAATTCCCAAAGGGTCAATTTTTCTATCATCCCTAGTCACTGCCCAACTATCTGATGGATAGCAAGTAATTGCAAAGACCATAGTCTGTATCAGGTTCTTTAGTCTCCAGACTGACATCCTTGTTCTTTAATACTTTGAGGAAGTCTCTGACAGCAGACTTTGTCAATGCAATTCATCTTTTAATTTCCTGTCTGCTGGTACCATGAGTATTAGTTGTAGAGCCAAGCAAACTGAAACTGTTAACAATCTGTCTCTTCACCATCTATCATGATGCTGCTAATCAGCCCAGTGGTGAGAATCTTTGTTTCCTTGATGTTGAGCTTCAGTCCTTGACCTTCTGCAGCAAGTGCTTCAGCAAGCAAGGTTGTGCCATCTGCATAAAGCAGGTTGTTGATGAGTGTACTTCCAATCCTGATAGGTGTACACACACACACACACACACACACACACATATGTATACATGTGTGTGTGTATATATATATATATATAGAGAGAGAGAGAGTGTGTATTGAACTTGTAAAATGGATTTATTAACTCTTTTTTACTATTTTTTGTGGTTTTTTTACCTTTTTTTGCTTTTCATTTATTAACTCTTAATATCTCTTGTGTGTTCTTTGAGAGTTTTGTAATACAAATAGATATTTTACATTTTCCTTTCTCATTTGGTTTACCTTTATTTCTTATCCATGTCTTCTTGTTGGTGTGTATCATCAAGTTGGAACTGACTCAGAGCTGACCTGACCATCCAGTGGGTTTTTGGAGGTAGTTAATCACAGAGAAGGAGATTGCCCATCCTTCTCTGGGTGTGGAGCAGCTGGTGGATTCAAACCATGTGCCTTCAAGTTTGCAGTGCAGCCTTTTACAAATAGGCACCTGAGGTCCCTATTCTTGTCCAATATAAGAAATTATAGTAGTACAAGGTTAAATAAAAGTGGTGAAATTTGCTGTATATATATATATCTTGTTCCTGATAGTAAGTGGAAATTATTTCCATTTTTCTAATGTTGAATATGATGTTAGCTGTGAGAATTTAAGAAAATCTTTTACAATGATTAATTAAATTTTAGTAATAGGTTTTTTTTTTCAGAGTAAAAGTATGTTGGATTTTGTCAGGAGTCTTTTTTTGTATCAGTTGAGATGATGATGATATGTTTCTTCTACATTGACCTATTAATGCAGTGCAATGTGGCAGACATGGAAGTAGCCGCGGTTGACTTCTGCTAATACCACAAAGGGTAACAGTTGCCATCTATAACATCCACAGCACAAAACAGATTCCCATGAGGTCAGACATGCTTCTATGCTCCCACACCTACTTTGACTGATTTATATAAAGCTAACCATCCCTCCCAGGACCCTCACAACTCTGCTACTCAATTCAGTAATTCATTGCAAAAGTCACACCAAACTTAAGGGCGATCCTCACAATTGTGGGTGTTATTAAAGAAGTCAACAGATGACAATTCATGTTGGAAATAGTATATAATTGTCAGGATAGTTTTGTGCATGCAGACCCTCTCACCTTTAGCCATGTGACCCTAGGACCACTAGTGTTACAAGTCTCTCTTAGTCTTTCCCTAATGGTGTCTCTCCTCTAGGTTCTAGTCTGAGTTTGCAGGAATCTATGGTCCAAATGGATGCAGGCAGGACTCTCCTTCTTTCTTGCTGTTAGAGAGACATCAGTTTCCTGCCTGTAAATTTGTACAATTTGTGCCTTGCAGGATGATAATGCTGACTAATACCCTTATTAGTAGATACACGTGGTAGATAAAGGTGGTGGCTGTTGTACATTCTGTAGAATTGAGTACAATTCATAGCAACATTATGAAAAGCAAATCTGAACCCTGCCCTATCTTGTACCATCCTGATAATTCCTAACATACTTGAGCTGATTGCTGCAGTGACTGTGTCAATCTGTCTGGTTGATGGATTTCCTCTCTTTTCCAGTTCTCCACCTTTCCAAGCATGAAATCCATTTCTACCAGCTGCTTAGCAGGAGAAAAATATTCTCCTGTGTATTGTACTGCTTCTGAAAACATAATGGCCGATCAGCTGTGATTTGGTTTTGACTCAATGATACACAACAG